GGGTTCTTCATATATATAATGTAAACCACAACGACATCTGCATCGGCTGGCGAAGTCTTAACCTTGCGTCCACTCAATGCCATCGACAGGAAAATCAATGCAAAATCTAATTCACACATATGCAATATGCCATATGCCATATGCCATATGTGTGTGTTTTGGATTGAGTGTTTGCTTGTGTGTAGCTGTCTTTGACATGTGTTTATGTATAGCACAAAGACTGCCTGATATTTGACACCTAACCTTTAGCGCTTGGCATTGAGTTTGGGCTGCGGCTGCTCGCACGGAAATAGCCAAAACGTATTGTAGCTTGTTGCTGTTGTTATGGCTGAGGAAGCTTTAAGGCCTAATTGCACTTTCCAACTAAAAATAGTCCCGTCCATAGCACAGCCACGTCAACCTACTGCAGCCACCAAAAGCCATCGGCAGCTAACTAACCAGAGCCGACAGGCTGCACACTTGCAACCACCGCAACCACTCGCAGCCACACGACAATTAGTCAGCCACACAATGGGTTCTGGCTGCACCTTAATGCACGATCCGAGACCCAGGTCGTTCTGTTTGTCTGCTTATTGTTTTATATTTTGACTGCAGCCGGCAGCCATTGAAAAGGCGATGTCCTTGCATGCATAATGCATGGCGTGAACACGAATCGGTGGAGCATAAGAAGCAACGTCGGTCACAAGCAACACGTGATACGCGAAGCAGTGCACCGCATCACAAATTCCAATTGAAATAAAGCCTGCTTAAATATGCACTCACTTTAAGGCACAGCCAGCGACAGTACATTAAGAAGTTGATCCTAAAACGCTTGATATGGAACGTTTTAGCATTTGGCAATACAAGTAATAGGAATAGCAGTAACAGTAAAAGTAGTAGTAGCAAAACTAGTAGTAGCTTTAGTAGTAGAAGTAGTAATAGTATAAGCACTAATGCTAAAAGTAATAAAAATAGTAGTAGAAGTAGAAGTAAAAGTAGAAGTAGTAGTAGAAGAAGTAGTAGAAGTAGTAGTAGAACTAGTAGTAGAAGTAGAAGTAGTAGTAGAAGTAGTAGTAGAAGTAGTAGTAGAAGTAGTAGTAGAAGTAGTAGTAGAAGTAGTAGTAGAAGTAGTAGTAGAACTAGTAGTAGAAGTAGAAGTAGTAGTAGAAGTAGTAGTAGAACTAGTAGTAGAAGTAGAAGTAGTAGTAGAAGTAGTAGTAGAACTAGTAGTAGAAGTAGAAGTAGTAGTAGAAGTAGTAGTAGAAGTAGTAGTAGTAGAAGAAGTAGTAGAAGTAGTAGTAGAACTAGTAGTAGAAGTAGAAGTAGTAGTAGAAGTAGTAGTAGAACTAGTAGTAGAAGTAGAAGTAGTAGTAGAAGTAGTAGTAGAAGTAGAAGTAGTAGTAGAAGTAGTAGTAGAACTAGTAGTAGAAGTAGAAGTAGTAGTAGTAGAAGTAGTAGTAGAAGTAGTAGTAGAACTAGTAGTAGAAGTAGAACTAGTAGTAGAAGTAGTAGTAGAACTAGTAGTAGAAGTAGAAGTAGTAGTAGAAGTAGTAGTAGAAGTAGTAGTAGAAGAAGTAGTAGAAGTAGTAGTAGAACTAGTAGTAGAAGTAGAAGTAGTAGTAGAAGTAGTAGTAGAAGTAGAAGTAGTAGTAGAAGTAGTAGTAGAAGTAGAAGTAGTAGTAGAAGTAGTAGTAGAACTAGTAGTAGAAGTAGAAGTAGTAGTAGAAGTAGTAGTAGAAGTAGTAGTAGAACTAGTAGTAGAAGTAGAACTAGTAGTAGAAGTAGTAGTAGAACTAGTAGTAGAAGTAGAAGTAGTAGTAGTAGAAGTAGTAGTAGAAGTAGTAGTAGAAGAAGTAGTAGAAGTAGTAGTAGAACTAGTAGTAGAAGTAGAAGTAGTAGTAGAAGTAGTAGTAGAAGTAGTAGTAGAAGTAGTAGTAGAAGTAGTAGTAGAAGTAGTAGTAGAAGTAGTAGTAGAACTAGTAGTAGAAGTAGAAGTAGTAGTAGAAGTAGTAGTAGAAGTAGTAGTAGCAGTAGTAGTAGAAGTAGTAGTAGAAGTAGTAGTAGTAGAACTAGTAGTAGAAGTAGAAGTAGTAGTAGAAGTAGAAGTAGTAGTAGATGTAGTAGAGTAAAGCAGTAGTAGTAGAAGCAGAAGTAGTAGTAGAAGTAGTAGTAGAAGGAATAGTAGAAGTAGTAGAAGTAAAAGTAGAAGTATTAGTAGAAGTAGAAGTAGAAGTATTAGTAGAAGTATTAGTAGAAGTAGAAGTAGTAGAGTAAAGAAGTAGTAGTAGGAGTAGAAGTAGTAGTAGAGTAAAGAAGTAGTAGTAGAGTAAAGAAGTAGTAGTAGAAGTAGTAGTAGAACTAGTAGTAGAAGTAGAAGTAGTAGTAGAAGTAGAAGTAGTAGTAGAAGTAGTAGTAGAAGTAGTAGTAGAAGTAGTAGTAGAAGGAATAGTAGAAGAAGTAGTAGAAGTAGAAGTAGTAGTAGAAGTAGAAGTAGTAGTAGATGTAGTAGAGTAAAGCAGTAGTAGTAGAAGCAGAAGTAGTAGTAGAAGTAGTAGTAGAAGTAGTAGTAGAAGAAGTAGTAGTAGAAGTAGTAGTAGAAGGAATAGTAGAAGAAGTAGTATAAGTACTAGTAGAAGCAATAGTAGAAGTAAAAGTAGAAGTATTAGTAGAAGTAGAAGTAGTAGTAGAGTAAAGAAGTACTAGTAGAAGCAGAAGTAGAAGTAGTAGTAGAAGTAGTAGAGTAGAAGCAGAAGTAGAAGTAGTAGTAGAAGTAGTAGAGTAGAAGTATAAGTAGTAGATTCTAATTTCAGATGCACAGAGCATAGATAGTATAGACTGTATATTGGTTACTCAAGCCTGTTGGCCTGTGTTATAGGAGACGAAGACAAATACATGAGTTTCTGCCTCGAGGTGCTTGTCTCAAGTGTTTTAGCGGTCCCCAGAGATGATGGGAACATGGAAAGCAAACTCAATATCATTAAAAATTTGTTGTTTTTCTTTCACTCTGCTGGCCGCACGCGCATGGGGCGTGCTGTGCCGTGCTGTGTTGCTTTAAGTGTGGCTCAAACTGGAATGTCGGCCAGGTCGTGTGCGCACACTAATTAAGCGTGGATGGCGGCAGCATCTGCCAAAAGTTTCAGGACAAATATCAACATTGAAAGCGCTGGCAAAATTGAATTGTTAGCAGTCAGCGTGTGCGCGATGCCATTTCTCATTAATTCATTTTTGGCTGGCCGAAAAGAACTTTTTAATTAAAAGTAAACGCCTCGGCCATTAGATGACCGCGAACAGGGCAAGGGCCAAAAACAAAAGCGAGAACGACAGAGAAAAATAAAATAAAGAAATGAAAGTTCCTGGCACGTTTTGGGGCATCTATTGCCAATGATTTGTCGTGCTCGCGTCCACAGTCGTGACTCGTGAGTCGTGCGTCCATGCAACGTCCACACTTTAAAAGAGGCAGAGGAACAAGCAACGACTCAAGGATTTATACGCAATTTGCATGCAAATCGAGTTGACGGGGAGTCAAACAAATGGGCTGCGGAGTACAGACCGGGGCAAGGGCGGTCGAGGGGCGTGGGGCCTTTGTACGTTGCATAGTTTATTTAGTCGGAGTTAGACTTGCTCGACCGAGATTTATTGCGCAACAACAGAACAATAAAGCGAGACCAAGCAATGCCATTAAATTGCCGTTAAATGATAAGTTAAATAGCAAACAGAAAGCAACTGTAAAAATAATACGATAATACGCACATGTCCCTAACTCCCCATCGTAAAAGCCCAAAGCCCACCTACCATAAACTAAGCTTGTGCAAAAACAAGCGAATAGTTTGTTGACGCAACTTAAGGAGCAAAAGAAAATCGATAAAAATTTTATAACTTTTAGTTACTTCATTTGCTAGAGATTGCATTAGGCTCAAACGTAGAGCTGCTCGACTACCAGATACCCGGCCTTTATACCAAAGTGCACCAAGTCAAATTGGCCCCATTACAATAGTCGAACAGCATCGACTCAAAAGTTACCCCATGATTATGATCTGGACTTACTGAGCGATATATTCTTATGGGGAATACTGGAGTAATACTTTTTAAAAATACTGAAATATTTATATAAAAGTGTATCAAAATAAAAAAGTTACTAGAATTCATTTATGGGGGATTTGTCTTTAACCACTTTCCGCTTCGCTCCATACGCCGGTGTTACCAGTCGTATACTTGATCAACGAACTTAACTCAGCCATTTACAGGCTGCTCAGCGCCTTTATCTTTGTCCATGCTTAGCTATGCCCTTAGCTTATCTCGGGGGATTGATTCACATGTGGCCCCAAGCTCAAGGGCCAAGCTAATTGCTCCGGCCACTGTGCAGGTAAACTGGGTCACGTTGTGTCGTTGGGCTTTAGCGACGAAAACTTAAACTGATTTATTAATTATGAACACGCTTGGCAGGGCATTCAGCGTGACGTACTACGCGGCGCATAAGCAACAATTGCGACATTTTTATGGAATATTTGATCGATTCGCAAACCCAGGCTGGCGACTCGTTCTATGCACTTAAAAAGGGCAGTGGAGACGAACCTTACACTCGACTGCATATCTATACTATAGATCAGTAAAAACCGATACGATAGATCAGAAACCACAGCTATCATAAGTCAGTAACCACGTCTGTCTAACGTTACGTGGCATAGCTTGGTCGATATCGAATGGATCAGATGACAATATCATAGGCACGATCCTTAGTTCAACAACTTTGCTCTTTCAGAAATCAAAGGGAATCTCAATGAAAGCTCGAGTGCTTTGATCACATAAAGATGAAGCATGGATGGTGGGTAAAAATAAAAGAATTTCAGACTTGACAAACGAAATCTTAACTAGGCTTAATTACTATGATAACATATAATGCCAGCGTGTAGAGTATTTGGGCTTCGGTGTGCCGAAGACAACAAATTCTTGTATTGCTTTTCGCAGATTATATAAAGCTGGCTGGCAGGCAAGTTATGCGTATTCTATTCCGTTCGCCTTACCTTGGGTGAAAAATAATAAATTGAACGATGACAGCGCTAGCACGGAGCTGGATGTGGAAGACATGCTTCCATATTACACTTTATGTAAGCGTCCGTGCACGAGCCACGTAGCCGTTGCCGTTGCCTTTGCCTTTGCCTTTGCCGCTGCCGCTGCCGATGCCGGCTGAAAATCAGCAATAGCTAATATAAAATGTAAGCAAAAAACAACAACAGAAATATAACAAAAACAAAGACAACAAATGGTAACTGGTGACAACAATGGGAGGACGACGCGCCAAAGGCGGCCAAAACGGTTTGGCGCGTCGCTTGTTATTGTTATTGTTGTTGCTGTTGTACAAGTTGTTACAGCTGTAGTTGTTGGCCGACGGCCGTCGGCTGTTGGCTGTTGGCTCCTTTTGACGTAACTTCCACTTCGCCACTGGGCGAATTCAACATTCAGCAACCAACACACACACAAACACGCAAACAAATTGCTTTGAATTAATTAAACAAATGACAAACCAACAAAAAAAAAAAACAAACAAACAACAAAACAAGAAATAAGTTGATTGTTTCTTTTTGGCCTTTCAATGCGCTCTCTCTCTTTCTCTCTCGCGCTCTTGTAACTTGCTCCACACTATTTGTTGTTATTGTTTTTATTATTATTGCTGTTTCAGTTGTTGCTATTGCTTGCTGCTCGTGTTTGTGGCTGCGCGGCACGAGCGTCCGTTACGTTCGAGTTACGTTCCTCGACTGAACGGCTGCCTGGCCTCGTGGCCACGACTTCAGCCTCGTCCAAGACTCATCGCCTCAACGTGCGAATGCGAATGCGAATTCGAAATTTGTGACGATTTGTGTGTTGGTATCGGTGTGTGTTGTCCTTATGGCCCGTACTCCTTTTTTTGACACTCACGCGCATGCCGCCAGCGACGCAATGCTTGCATGTGTGCGTCTGTGAGTGTGTGTGTATGGATGGGTGGGTGTGTGTGTGTGCGTGCGTGCGTGTTAAAGGGTGGCATTAGCTCAAACTACTGTTGCTGCTGCTGCTGCTGTTATCGTTTCGAAATTTGCCAACATCGCGTGCTCGATCCATGCCCGAAAGTTGCGCAACTTCTCAGCCTTGAGTCATAAGCAATAGTTCAAATGCCAATTCTTGACGTCTTTGACAATTTCATTAAACTGAATGGCAAGTCAAATTTTAATCCATTAACGTGTTTATTTACCGGGCATACAACGTTTGCCCTTTGCAAAAGTCAACGGCCAAGATACACTGCACACACACGCACACATAAGCACAGCATAGATCGATTATAATCGATTTGCTATCGATAATTGTCGTTAAGTAAGTCAGGCTCTTGCACACGCCTTTCCAAGTAATTCTACAATGAATTTATTTCTTTCTTTATTTTTTGTTAAGTTGCACTTTAATTTCAATATGCATCAATGGAATAATTCATCTATTTATATGCTAATAATAATTAAAATATATATATATATTTCATTTAGATAATACATTTTACATATTAAGAGTTCACTTGTCTTAAAATCTAATGTTAAAACGCGACTAATATACACATAAAACTCGCTTATATCTCTCTGTACATATATATAAACTACATTATTATAAATAACTTTGTTCCTTAAATTGTTTGAATGCATGAGTTTTAAAGAGTATAACTAAAAAAAAGGTAAAGAAAAACAATTACATTCATAAGTAACCATAGGAAAAAATGAGAATATATAAATAGGTTGATTTCTGTTTCGATTCTAAATGCATTCAAACCTAAGCGTTGACATAATTAATAACTAACTATAGTATACAATTTATGTAATGATAATACAATACATACATGTCGTGCATGATGTTTCGGAAATTGAGCACAAATCGCGGATTGTTGGTCTGTTTGCTTTACACTGTCAGCTTGGACACGCGAGTGCCCAACAGTTAGATGCATGCAATCATTTTGTGAACAAAAGTTGGCCAGCTAACTAGCATACAATCAACTATTGACTATAAACTAAGTGAAAAAAAAAATAAACTAAAAAACAATATAAATAAAAATCAAAGTAGATGAGGTCGCATGGGTTTATAGGCATATCCGATTACATTTGTATACATCATGTCTCAATTGGTGCGACCTGCCTGGATCCTCACTGGATCGAATGGAACCTGATTAGATTAACGCCGCTTGTTCACGCGCTCGATGTACTTGGTTTTGTTGAGCGCACGATTTCCCGCATTGGGATCCATCATGCGTTTCCAATCAGTTTGCCCCACCACAAAGCCAATCGCACGCATCTTTTTCTGTGCACGTTTCTCCTCAATGTCTGCCCAGCGTACCTACAATGCATATATGTGAGCTTTAAGCTAATACTTTGTACATAGCCTTCATCTAGCACTTACGCGTTTCTTGCCATTGGAATTGCCTGTGGGCGGTTCCCACTCATCCAGTTGCAAATAGTCAGCCATGCTAGCGGCTTTGCGCTTTTGCATTAGGCGCTTCGTGCCATCTAGACGGGCTAAAGAGCAAAAGTTGAGGAATATTAGACAAACTATAAATAAAAAAGGAGAGTTCCATTTAATTTGACGCCACTTACCCAGATTGTCCTCCGTGGTATCATTTTCCCACTTGCTTTTCAGAAAGCCGCACTTTACACAACCAACACACATGTCAAGGAAATTGTACAATAAAAAAATATATATATTTAATATTAGCAACGGCCACACACAGGCATCGAGCATAGCACATAGCACGAGAGCAGAGAGCTTATGCCCACAGTGGGAGCAATTAACCATTATATGGTTGATGCTGCTGACACTTACATCGTTGGCCGCATCAGCACTGTTGCTGTCCTCATCGTCGGCAGCGGCAGCGGCCCCAACGGCCCCAGCGGCGGCATCGCCAGCGGCATTGGCAACGGTGATGACACCCTCCTCGGTCGCAGGCTCGGCGCTATTGGCATTATCATCCTGCAAAGAACAAGCCGCAATAAATCAACAGCAGTTTGCTTGACCAGCGTTTCAATAGCCATTTACTTAGTTACTGAATTCAATATTTCATAATGCGGGTATTTCGATAATTGATTAATATTTTGGTACAACAACGCAATTCTATTTGTATTTATCAGATTTACAGTTCTGTAATTGTATTGCCGTGCATATGCATATTAACGATATACAGCTACATCAATCTGTATGGCATACAGCATTCATGTACGCATGTATGCCATTTATATATATGCCATACACATATATGTATAAACATGTTGCGATATAAGTACGTTTCAGAGAATCTTAGACTAAAGAGCTGTTGTGGGCAGGTGCCTAAATTTAGCATTGCCAACTAAATTATACTCGTGCTTAGACTACAGCTGTTCGAATATATAATTCAACTATATAGATATGTATATATATGTATATATAGATATAAATGTTAATATAAATATATGTACTATGAACTATGTAGAGTTTGCCGACATAGTGCCACACACTCACGCACACACACGCACACGCAACACGCACGCATATATACACAAAATTTGCTGGTGGCCAGCCAAATGGTCAGTGTCGCAGCAGTGAGGCGCCGTCGTGACTGGGACGTGAGCTGTGAGTCGTGGTGGGCCGCGATTGCATTACAGCAGCATAGTTACCGTTGCCATGTTCTCTACATCTTCCATTTCAACAACGTTCTCCAGCAGCGACGATACATCCAGCTTGATGTAGTGCAACGGCGTGGTACACCAATTGTCCAGCACAGCACGTATATCGTGCTCGCTACGCTGATGACTGTTGCGTCCCAGGCACGTCTCCAAATCGCAGTGCATGTCCACAATATAGGGCTGTTAGAAAAGGAAAACCATCAGCATCAATTTGAGCGAGACAGGGAGAGAGAGTAGGATAGAGAAAGACAAAGAGGGAAGGAGAGAGAGAGAGTGTGTGTGAGTGTGTGTTTGTGCGCTGCGTACCACAAAATTCGAGTCTTTAGCGTTGCAATAGAACTCGTTAAGTGAACGGAGCGAGTTATTGTTGCAGTCAACAATAATGAAGTCATAGAGATTGTCACTAAGCGTCTTCTTATAGGACTTTATCAAATATTGCATATATGTCTCCTCCATGGTGTCGTCATACTCATAGAGTATCTCCTTTTTCGGTATCTGTAAACGAAAGAGGCATCAAGACAGATGTTCAAGCTATGGTCTGTCCAGGCTCACCTTTTTCCCAGACTTCGGGCACTTCTCTTCGTAGTCATTCTCAATTATAAAATAATCATCGATGCTGAGTATGCGTGGACTGGCGCCGCCCATTTCCAGTTCCTTTTCCTTGATCAAACGTGCCACATACGACTTGCCACAGCCCGGCGGTCCGCGTAATATAATGCAAATGCGTTTCGGACGCGTTAAACGACCCGGTGGCAACAGCACCTCATCAATGGATATAGTATTGCGATTCTCATTAGTTGGAATATTTATTTCCAAGCAACTGACATCTACTGGCTCCGGTATCTGACGATTGGCCGCTGCCGTTGATGGGAACAGAGCGGCGGGTGGTTCGTTCAGCAAACGAAGCTGCGGATTAGCTGGATAAGCTTTCTGTGACACCTGCTCTTTGTTTAACGGCTGCTTAAGCATCGGTGGCGGTGGCGGCGGTGGTGATTCGGCGTGCATTGCGTCCGTTAGATTACTGAATTGATTATTGAAGTTGGCATTAGCTAAAAGGGACTTTTGATAAATCAATGTGCAACTTACTCCTCGCCGTCGGATATGTCCTCAAGATCATCTAGCTTGCCAACTGCTAGCTGTTGGCCATTCAACTAATGGATATATATATATATACAGATACATGACATTATGTTTGCCCAGTGGGATATGTTGCAGCGTGGTTAGCCGGATACCTACCTCAGTGTCGGGCATCATGACTGCATCCGAAACTTGTTGCTGCATGACGCGCTGACGATTCTTATTCTTCTTTTTGTTTTTCTTCTTGCTGCTGCTGCTGCTGCTGCTGCTGCTGTTGTTGTTGTTGTTGTTAGAATTAAGGCTGGTGTTTCGATGCATGGGCCTAACACTTGGCGTTCCAGTTGCTGAAGCATGTCCATAGTCAATGGTAAGTCCAGGTCTAAAGTCCGGCAGAGCTGTGCTCGCTCCTGGGCCAACAGCGCCCATCCGAGTGGCAACACCATCGGCCGACTTGTGGCCATAGTCGATAACCTTGGCGGCGGTGTTGCGGCTGTTCTGATAGTCAAACACTTTCATGGGCCGATAGACGGGCTCGTTGCTGGGTCGCATTTTGTCGGTCTGCTCCGCGCTGCAACGTTGCATGACGCAGGGTCGAGTTGGGTTTGTTTAACATTTTTTTTATCAATTATTTGTTATTTGGTTATGTTTGTTCGTGTTTTTTTTTCGTTTTGCAGTTTGTTGTTCATTTGTTTTGTTTTTTAATTGGTTTGTTTTTTTTTTGTTTTGTTTTTTGTTTTTTTTTTTTTAATTTTAAACCAGAAAGAAACACTTAAACTTTTACAAATATATTGCTATTGTCATGGGGCAAGCAATTGTAGCTTCAAGATATTTACATTACAGATCAAGAGACAAGGCAGAGGCAGAGGCGGAGGCAGAGGCAGTGGCAGTGGCAGAGGCAGGGTCAGAGCCAGGCTCAGTTAGGGTCGATGTCAGGTGAGAAATTAGAGTAATTTGTAGCTTTATCAGTTAATGGGCTGGAATGCGAGGCTCTGAGTCCTTGGGCACGGGCAGCTCAATTTCCTTTTGTTTTAGATAGCTTACAGAACGTATAGCATCGGCTGACCGAAGTCTATTTATATATATATATAAATTCTGATCAGCATATGGCCAAAGTATAGTATAATCAATTGAAGCAAACTTTATCTTCAGCTCTTACGAGATATTTTTAAAGGTTATCCAAGCCCAGTAAACCAAATAACTGAATAAGCAGACTTTTCAGGGAATTTATATATATATATAAATAAATATATATAAATATATATTCTTAATGAGAAGCGGACACAGCAGACCTGATTTGGCAAACAGACAAAATCAGCTACATTTCCCAGACCTAAGATTGAGAACTCTTAACTACATTTCGCCCCTTAACATCGGACAAAGGACCACGACCAGAACTTCATTAGCAGACCAAATGCTTCAGGGGACTTGCAGTTGGCGGCTTTGTCAATTAGTGTTAAGTAATAGTGGGAGACAAGTTATATTTTGGCAACTCTTCAAATATTCGATGTTTGTATTAATAGTGCTTACATGACTAAGACAACTTTGGTGCTTCAGTTAGGAATTGAGATAAGAATTGTGTAGACATATATTACGTGGCTGTGGGAGACGATGCAGCTTGGGAAGTTCATTCGGCTCGGGGGAGATTAATCCAATATGATGGGGCGTGGCCTCGGTACGAGATGTGTTCAAAAAGTATCGCGAACTTTGAGTTTCTACGGGTTGAGTGTTTAGGCTCAACTTCTCAGATCTGGCCTCAAGAACGGACATGACGGGACTCTCTTTGAAGCGGACAAAGTAGATATAGCTGATTATAAAATAATATAAAAAGCAAATCCAATTCTAATCTAATATCTAGTTATGAGCTGACTTAATTGTGGCATTTGATAACAACAAATTCGCGGTACTTTTTGAGCAGACCTCGCACGTATTTTATACGGTAAACAATCTAAAAGTAGATGATATCATATCTAATATTCTTACTATCAAGACTAGCCAACTATAGCAACACGTTTTCTGACTCCGAATCGGACTGCACGAGAAATACAATTTCGGACAAATTCTGAAATTTATTAATGTTTAGGCCCTTTCGAGTGGTGTAATATGAAAATGCACGCCAGCATTGGATGTAATATTAAAACCATTTTATTCATTCATCGTATTCAATGTGTTCTCTGCGTAACTGTAGGCATTTCTGTACTATATGTCTATATAATTATGAATTATGCTAGATACATGGGAAATTCGTCGAACTCAATATGCGATTCCTGACTTCAAATGACGCTAGAATCCCAAAAATTTTCATTCCAATTTTAAATAACTAAATTCATCGATTTCTTTTTTACAATAAAAACAAACAAAATTTGGAGATCTTAAAAATTAGTTAAGAGATTTGATACATACATAAGAGATGTGTATAAAATAGCTGGCAGAGAGATATAGACCTTTGTTTTCGTTTATATATTTTTTTTTAACATTGATTCGTTTAATGAGGGGCCCACGCAATGTGTGTGTGTGTGAGTATATATATATATATATATATATATATAATTTAATCTACATATAGACATAGATTGTGTATTTTAGATATGCGCTGTGAGAATCGAGTAGAAGGGCACGTATCTAGCTTGACCTGTGTCCGCGTTGCTGCTGCTGCATGTTTCTATTGCTCCTGTTGGAGTTGTCACCCCTACCACGAAACGGTCGATTGCTATATATATACACACAAACATATGCATGTAGATATATATATTGATTCAGTCAAGTGAAATTCAGAGCAATGCCATTTGATTTTTGTAGTATAAATATATTTGTTTTGTGAGGTTGGTTTGATTGATTGTAATTTAAATTTTAGTTTTTATATATTGTTTTTTATATTTGGGTGCATAAAAGTAGAAGAGAAAAAGAGAAAACGGGTAAGGAATCGAAATTCCAGCATTAACGACGAGATCAACGAGCTACAAACATAGAAAACGTATAAGAGAGCAGACTTAAAGGACCGGGTCGACTAGTGGGGCTCTTTCCAGAGATATTCTTATCATACATTCAACTCACTCAATTCCACTTGGTCATTGAGATATTGTCACGGCGACCGACTAGTGAGCCTAGGACATGGGAAAATCATAAACAGAAAAAAAGTGCCGACAAAGCAAGCATAGAAATTCACTTAGTTGATCAGATTTAAGACGTTAAACACATTCAGTTCTTAGACTCGGTCATGATATATGATAAACAAGTTTTCAAATTTTCTTTTCGATTTACTTAATACTAAGAACACTAAGAATTTGTATTGGGGGTTGGGGCAACTACTATTTGGTGTGTGGTTTCATCTAATCAGAAATGAATGAAACTGTTTCTCGTCGAGTTCTATGCAGATCCCCATCTCCCTCAGTTCAAATGGAAAGAACTATGAAAATGATTTGTAAGTCGATCGGACCAGTCTAAAACAATGACAACGCCCACTCTTGAGGATTACCTATACATATTCCTCAGATTACCTTTATGCAAGTATTCGTATATTCGTTATAGCTAGATATACGACATATCATCAGTAAATATCACTTGGAGGTCGATAAGTAACATCAGAGATTCACATAGGACACGTGTTAGTGCAAATGTCTGTCTGAAGGTGTCTTATTGAGGTGATTGAGTTACCCCGCCCCCTTTCGTACTCCCAACTAACTCAAGAGCACTACGTTGTGGGCATAGCACGACAGACAAAGTGAGGGCTTACGCTAAATTTATTCCTTTTCACACTCAGACGGAATATTGTACAGGGATTTATCCCTGATTCATCAAACTTTATTTGACGCAAGAATGAATATGACATAAGTTAGAACGAGCGAGAGAGAGACAGAGAGAGAGAGAGAGAGAGAGACTGGCTGGGTGGGCAGGGCAAGACATTAAATTAAAGACGACTATGACACATACCCATCAGGCCAAGGCTTGTTGTCGTTGTTGTTGTTGTTGTTGTTGTTGTTTCCTCCGTTGCCGAAGTTGTTTCGCTGCTGTCCGAAGTTCTTTTGGTGATTGAGCTGTGATTTGCCACGTGGACCGAAGCCGGGTCCATCGTCGAAGTTGGGGGCTGGCGCTCCGCTGTTGCGTCTGAATGGATTATCGTTGAAATTGTTTTTCTTGTTGTTGTTGTTGTTATTATTGTTGTTATTGTTGTTGTTGTTGCCGTTGTTGGGCCCGTTGAAATTTGGATTGTTGGGTCGGAAATTGCAGTCATTTGGGTGATTGGGTCCTGGTCCGAAGTGACGATCATTTGGATTATTGGGCCCCGGACCAAAGTTTGCAGGTGAGTTCGGTCCGCCATGGCCACCGAACGGTCCGGGAGCACCAAAGTTTGGACCGGGTCCCGGTCCGTTCGGGCCGCAGAAATTTGGTCGAAATGGACCCGGGCCGGGACCGTTACCGGGTCCATTGCCACGGAAATTCGGACCGAAATTTGGTCCACGCTCATTGAAGTGAGGTCCGGGTCCATTGAAATTGGGATTATTTGGTCCTCCGGGACCAAAATTACGTCCAAATGGCCCATTGGGTCCAGGATAGCCACCGAATGGCCCTGGTCCCGGTCCAGGTCCATGTCCATGACGGCCAAAATTGGGCCCCCCGAAATTGGGTCCATTTGGCGGACCATTGGGTCCACAATTGCCACCGCCCGGGCCACTAAAGTCTGTGAAGTTCGGTCCCATTACCTGCGCTCCGGCAGGTCCAAACGGCGAGCCATTATTGGGTCCAAGTCCCTGGGGTGGTCGTTGATCAGGACCGAATCCACACCGATCGCCAGGCTCATTGCCCATTGGACTCGGGCCGGAGCCCGGACCTTTTCCAAAACTATCACGAGCGCCATTATCCGGCATACTGTTCGACTGCTCCTCCTGCGAGCCAGCTTTCTGGTTGTTCTTCTTGCGCTGCCACTCGGCAAAGCTCAGGGCGCGTCCATCGTTGTCCTCATTATTGTTATTGTTGTTGTTGTTGCCTTTGTTGTTGCCGGCATTTTCGGAGTGCTCATTTGAGCTCGGCTGCTGCTCGTGCTCCTGCTCCTGCTGCTGTGGTTCCCGATCACGACCCTGCGCCTGGGCCAGAGCCTGCGACAAGTTGTTCATAAACTCGGGATCTTTGAGCACATTGCTAACATTATCTGGCAGAGCTTCGCCGACGGGCGCTGGCGGCTCCTTCTCTGAGTCGTTGCCAGTGCGCTCTGGCGGCGATATGCCCGGCTTATCGATGACCACATCGAACAGCGATGGTATCTTCTTATTGGCATCCGTGTCCTTCGGCTGCGACGATTCAGCAGGCGCCGCAGCAGTTCCATCGGCAATAAAATCAAGTCCCGGTATGCCATCGCTTTTCTTAAATATGTTCTTCATGGGCGTATCGCTGGCTGGGTCTGGCTCCTTATCCGCCGACTTGTGTGCCCCAGCCAACTCGTCGTCATCATCGTCCAATGAAATTATTAATATTTTCTCCTGTTTGCATTGTTTGGTCTGCTTGGCTGGGGTCGAGTTGGTGCTGCTGCCGCCGGCATTATTTTTACGCTTGCCCAGTAGATTAGCTTTATTTGGTTGATTTGTTGTTGTTGTTGTCGTTGTTGTTGTTGTTGTTGTTGTATCCACATCATGTGGCTGTTGTGTTGAAAACTTATTTTGGCTGGCCATCGCCTTCGATGGCAGACTCTTCCCCGAGCTTTCTAGCTCTTTGCTAGCGTGTAAGTCCTGCTGAATCGGTTTCTCATCCACTTCTGCCTCTGGCGAATAGTAGTGGGGCTCATCTTGATTTGTCCCATTAGCAGTTTCTTGCTGCTGCTCCATGTCATTCTGCTGTTTCATGTTCTGGCGCGTGCGCTCGAAATGCTCCTCATCGAAACAGCCCTCGGCCTCCTCCGAGTTGCCTCTGGCTCTCGCTTGCTGTTGTTCCTGATGAAATGGTGGCCTTTGAGCTGTCTGTGGTGCTTGTTGGTTGGGATTCTGCACCTGACGCCGGCGGCGCATTTGCTCACGACGGTCGGCAATGCGGCGTCTTTGCTTCTCAAACTCCTCCTCATAGCGTCGGTATTCATCGCGATCTGGATGATTCGCATTGGCACGCTTCCAATCCTCGAATTGCTTCTCCCATTGATTAAACAGCCGATCGAAGCTGGCCTCGTCCAAGTCCGGTGCACGCGACTGCTGTTGCTGCTGGTGCGATTGTTGCTGATTGAAGTTCTGCTGGTTGGAGCGATTGAAGCCATCATCATTGAAGCTATTGTTGCTGTTGAGTGGATGGCCAAAGTTGCCTCCACTTTGATGCGACCGATTGGGCTCCCATCGACCACTGCGCCGATTGTGGTTGTTGCCAAAGTTAGATGGACCAAAATGATCACCTGAACCGTGACTGGGGCCACTATTGCCATAGTTTCCACCATAATTGCTACTCGAGCCACCAAAGTTGCCCGAGTTAGATGGTCCTGATCCTGGCGAATCATTGTCAAAGCTACCGCCACCATCGTCGGAGCCATAATGTCCCTGAGGCGCACTGCTGAATGGATTGTTCCGATTGACGTTGTTATTGTTACTGTTGCCAGGAGGATTTTGCCAATTGCGTCGGCCTCCGAATTGTCCCGACTTATTGGCGCCTTGACTACTGTTAATGTTATTGTTACTGGGCTCATTGCCTTGCCAACGATTGTTCCGGCCTGTGCCCTGCTGTTGTCCCACATCCGGTAGGGGCCCGTCCCAGCGTTGACGCTGCTCCGTTTCATTCATGTTCCCACTGCCCTTGCTTTGTGGCCCCTTTGACCAATTAGCATCCACCTGATTAGCCGACGACGATGAAGGCGGAGGATGTTGCATGAACGTGGGTGGTGGCTGCTGTAAATTGGGAAACATGCTGGGTTCCCCAGGATTGGGCGGCTGATTATAGACACCGGATGGCATGTGATTGAATCTGGCCGCCGGCGGCGGTGGCTGTTGCCATTGATTTGGCGGCGGATGTTGCTGGTGGTGCATCGGTGGCTGCTGATAGACTTGCGGTGGTGGCGGTGGCGGCTGATTGTACATCTGCGGCTGAGCCATTATCTTAGCAGGCATCTGAGCTTGCGACTGTGCCGGTGGCTGCATTTGGGGCGCCGCTGGCTGCATTTGCGGCTGCGGAAAGTAAGTCTGAAGTGGCTGCTGCACTGGCATCTGTGGAGCCATCGCTGTTTGCGGATAAACTGGCCCAATTCCAGGCACAGCCGTCGGCACAGGTGCAGCGACAGGTCCCACAACGGGTCCTATAGGCGCTGCGACCGGTGCAGGCGTAGGCACAGTGCTGACAGCTGCCGCCGCTGCCATTTCCCGCTTGTACTGTTGCATACATGGAATCGTTTCAAAATGTCAGCATACATATCAAGTAAATATATAAGAGCAAATTACCTGCTCCCCATACTGTGCATGCCACTTGGCGTATTCTTGCTGGTAGGTCTGCCACTGCTGCCAGTGCTGCTGAAGAGCGTACTGCTGCTCCGGCGTCATTGCCGCATACTGTGCGGACGTATACTGTTCATATGGATTGGTAGCGGATTGAACTGCGCCCGCGCCCATGTATTGTCCGGCAGTGACTACGCCAGGGGCATTAGCTGCGGTTGTTGCAATATCTGCCGGTGGCGGCGGCGGAGGCGCATCTGGCAGTGGAGGCGGTATGGCAGGTTGAGGCGGCGGTGCGGCCATTGGTGCTGCTGGCACCGCAGCGACTGGCCACTGATTCCACATTGACGATATTTCAAATTGCAATTCTCTGGAAGTCGTGCGCGAATAGGATTATTTAAATAGCTTTGCTGATAATTACAGACCGATTGTTGATTTACATACTTTTTAAATTGCTTTAATGCGGTTTTATATAATTTTGTGCGGTCTATAACATTGACAAGAAAATCTAAACCGAACAACAAAAAGAGCACGCACTTACTTCGCCATTTTTGGCTTGAAAACTAGAGATGAACGTTGCTGAGTATGTTGATATTGTATCGATATGTTAACATTCGACTGCTAAGCGAAGCAATCATGTGCGATAACAGTTGGAGATGGCACAGAATCACAGTATGATAGCTCTGTATAGGTTACACTGTACGAAGTTTTTAAAATACTTATGGTAAACTCTGTGACGTTTACAGAATGGCTTAACATAATACATTTTATTTATTGATGAAGAATACTTTTAATTCAAATGCTTATTGTGCATACAATAATAGCCTCACGTTAATTAAATATATTGATAATACTTGCAACTTACATAACTCGCACTTTGTTGTGTTTACTGACATGACGTACATTTCCAAAGCAAAACAGTAGGTGCTCTAACTTATGTACAACCTTGTAATCTGTCAAATCCATGAGCATAACACGTGCAAATATAAAACTTGTTTTTCTTCGCAGTGTAGGCTCATCTGGCTATTAATGAACGGCTTAAAATGAGTGAAAATAGCACAAAAATTAAATATCTTGTAGCGGATACGACTGCATTTATCAATGCGGTGCCACTGAATGTAAGTGCCATATTTTAATATGTAAGAAAATATTTGACGTGTTTTCCTATTGTTCGTTAAGGAATACGCAGATAATGTGCTAACCGTGCCGGAGGTGGTGGCAGAGGTGCGCAATAAGCGACAGATACGCCGCCTCTGCGTACTGCCCTTTGATCTGCAGGTGCGCGAGCCACGTCCAGAGAGCGTCAAGCACTGTGTAGAGTTTGCCAAGAAAACCGGCGACTATGCTAGCTTGTCTGGCATTGACTTAAAAGTGATTTCACTCACATACGAGCTGGAGGCGGATACTCTGGGCACCGAGCATCTGCGCAACGAGCCAGTCGTTTCCCAGGTAATTGCCTCTAAGGACAAGCCAGAGGAGATGCAGGATGTTAACAATAAACGGCTTGTCGGCTGGTACATGCCCGAGGGAAACGAAGATGATGACGACGACGACGACGAAGAGGAGGACGACGACGATGATGAAGATGTCAACGATTCAGGAGATGACAATGATCAACAGCTGGATAAAAGCAGCGAAAATGTGGATCATATTAAGGAAGCCATTGAAGCGCAGCTACAAGGCAAACAGATAACAAGTCCAGACAGCAAACAAGTAACAAATGAAGCTGTCGAGGATGAGAATGAGGATGAGGACGATTTGACGCAGGAGGAGCTAGACAAGCTATTTGAAAAACTTAAATGTGCTCCATCAGCGGACGAGGAGCAGGCTACTTGTGATCTTCTGGTGGCAGAGCCCCAAGAGGAAGACGATGAAGAGCAGCCAAGCAGCAATAAAAATAATAATGCCCCTAGCATCATCAACGACGACGACGACGTCGACGACGTCGGTGACGATGGCTGGATAACGCACTCAAACATTAAGAAGGCCAAAAAGGCGCTCGAGGGCAAAGTGGAAACAGACATTGTGCCGCCGGTGGCGTGCATGACCACAGATTATGCGCTGCAGAATGTGCTGAAGCAGCTTAACTTGCAGCTAGCAGCGCTCAATGGACGCATCATCAAGCAACTGCGCACCTACATACTGCGCTGCTATGCCTGCTACAAAACGACCAGCATCATGACCAAGGTGTTCTGTCCAAACTGCGGCAACAAGACACTGAAGCGAGTCGCTATCAGTCTGGACGAGAATGGCAAACAGGTGATACACATAAATACGCGACGCCCGCTGTCCGCCAAGTATAAGAACCAGAGTCTGCCACGCTTCCATGGCGGTAAGCATTCGCGTAATCCCATTCTCTTCGAGGATCAGCCCATGCCGCGCCAGATGCCGTCGCGTGTAGCCAAAACCAAAACGAATGCTTTGGATGATGACTACATTGCGGGCTTCTCGCCATTCGTCATGCGTGACGTCGACTCCAAGTCGGCAATGCTGCGCTCCAAAGGCAACCTAAAGGAGTGGGCGCGCAACAACAACTTCGAGGAGGATCGCAGACGCAAGAATTACAATCGCCTGTACAAATAGTAGGCGCAGCTCTTGTCGTAAGCATATATCTATCTTTGTATGTAGCAACCTCTCCCATGCGTCTGTAAAATAACTTTAATCAAATATATAAATATTAATTGAATTTAACGTTCTCAGACTTTAGTTGCGGATTTGATCAATTATAAAATTGTTAACATAATGGCTTGGGTATGCCATGGGCGTTTACAGCTCCAGGCACATCTCATTGCCAGGATACGTGGGCAGATTCAGCTCGTACTTGCGCTGCAAGGCTGGCGGCACGAAGCGCCCGCCCAAAAAGTGATGCTTGCCTTTGAAGTGCTTGGCGCAGAGCTTGGGCGCTGTCAATGAGATGAGCAGCGTTGGCTCCATGTCGCAGTCGTTAAGCTTACCCTCCTCGACATCCCAGCCGCTCGGTATGTCCACGCTGTGCAAGAGAAAAATATGAACAGAGTTAGGCAGGATTCGGGTTGGCTTTAGTTTGTGGTACAACCTGGCTATGGGCAGCTTTGTTTTCTGCAACAGCTCCACCACTGGCACAAAGTCAGTGCGCACGGGGGGCTTAAAGCTGAAGCCGAACAGTGCATCCACAATCAAATCGTAGCTATCAGCAGCGGACGTTATGCTTGGACAATCACTAATCGTCTCAATCTCCATGCGCTGGCATTGGTAAGCGAGATTTTCGTACAGCGGCTTTGGCGTCGGCTTTGGGTAATATAGAACGGGCGTGTAGCCCATCAATGCCAAGTGACGGGCACAGACCAGTCCGTCTCCGCCGTTGTTGCCTGGGCCGCAGCAAACGAGCACACGTTCATATCTGTCCGCCGGAAAGCATTTGGCTATGGCGTGCGCACAGCTGAGACCCGCTAGCTCCATTAGCTGATCCACACTGAACTTGTACTCATTGAAGAGATCCAGGTCCACGTTAATGGCCTCCTTTTGATTCAAATATTTTAGCATGCTGCCCTCAATATTGCTGTCGTTGAGTTGGTTCCTGCTCCTGCAATGACAAAGTCTGTTTTGTTGTGATATCTGTTGTGTTATCTGTTTGGACTTAGCGATGAATGCCGAATGGGCTTGAAATCGGCTTTGTAGTAGTTCAATTGTCAAGCGGCTTAGCTTAACCATTTGCAATTGTAATCGCCAAAAATTCATATTTTAGAATTTCAACTAAATCACGGACAACTATATTATAAAAACAAAATATATTTTTGTTAAATCTAGGCAGTTCAAAGTTGCCGACAACGCACTTTATATATCGATGAATATTTGTTAAATGTTGTTTTGTGTATCGCCAAATTTCCTAGATGAGCAAATAACAGCTGTGCGTAATCGATTACAAATATACCGATTTTGGTATAATTGAAATGCGGAATACTGCAGTGTTAAGTTAGCATAAATGTTAAGTTCACTGCTATCCCAACAGTGCCACAATGAGTTAAACCATGAGCAGTGTGGCCGCTTCTGCTTGGATATAAGTACGACACATTTTGGTTTCAGCAATAGTCGGTTACACTAGCCGCGGGTCGGTTGTGTTTTATATTCGTTGCTCAAGTGGGAAGGTATTTGAAAACCTAGTGCAACGGATATACATAGTTAAACTTTTTTTTTGAATTGTTCAACAACAAATGTACGAATGATTTTATTTTAATTTCGTTTATGTTCAAGTGCTTGTGTATGTGTGCAGAATAATGCAGGTTGCGCTCATTTATTATTGAATTCGTGTAGGTCAAGGTGAAGCGGCGCAGAGGATAGCAGCATGAACAGCTGCCCAAATCACCGTTAGTTTGCTATTGGTTTTGTGATTGTTGTTGTTGCTCTGTCATTGAAGGCAATTCGCTTTCAATTACACATTTAACGGTGTCAGCAGGACGTAAATATAGGGCAGCAGTGTGTGTTTGTATGTGTGAGTGTGTGTGTGTTTGAAACCTTAAAAGTAAATACATATGCATGTTTTCCTTCTCGCTCTTTAACTTTAACTTCTATTGCAAATTTTAGCAGTCAGAGCTATTAGCACACACACACACACACACACCTATGTACATACATTTATCTCGGTTGCTGATAAGCACCGAAAGTCAACAACAAACATTTAACTATTTCAGTATAACGTGAAGCATCGGTGTTTTGCACAATAGCTCGCAAGTAAAAAAAGATAATATTATAGTAAAAAAAATAGTTATAAATATAATAATCACAAACAAGCAGCCAACGGCAGACAAAACGGCATTTCTACAGCAGCGTCGCCTTTTTAGCGGCGGCGGCGTTTTGGGCAGCGGCAGCGCAGCCATGAAACAACAGCCGCCGCCGCCGCCGCTGCCGCAATCGCAGCCACCGTCGCTGTCAGGAGGAGGAGGAAGCGCAGGAGCAGACTCTGAGGTCACCGCCATTGCCGGTACAGTAAGCAGTCGCCCACCGCTCTATCCGAAACGTAAGTAGATTTGCATGCGAGGGTTGTTTGACCAATAGAAAGTAAGAGGAAATATTCTATATGTATATATATTTACTAGTCAGAAATAAGGATTGATCGACTAACTTACTCACTAACTGTTTGATTCACTGATCAAAGCTGCTTTGCGAAAGTTATTACAGTAATTACCAGCAATGACGTCAGTCGTTAACTTAAGAGAATCATCAATGAGCGAGTGAAAAATAACAAACAACTCTAAAAGTTCTTAACTCTAATTTTAATGATTTATCTACCATTTGAGTTGTATACAGTAATACTCACTGCTAAAGGCTTCAATGATTGAAGTCAACAGCAGCTTTCGAATTGCTAATGTGAATCTGTGATTCACCAAAAAGTGTGAATGTGAATTGGTGAATCAATCCATACTATACATGAGATATTGAATCTGTGTCTGGCACTGACTCTTAGACTGAGTCTTAAGCTGACTCTTATTTAAAATTGAAGTTTGTTAAGCAAATAAATAAATTAATGCAAGCATTGCAATGGCTCAGTGCGCATTGGTCTTCTTAATGCATATTGAATGTACAGTAAAGCCTTGCTACATGCATTGCTAGCATTGGATATATTGAATGTACAGTAGAACCTCTCTAAAATCTCTGCTTTTATATTATTATTAAACTATGCTTATTCTTTACTTCGCCTCGCTAAATGCTATATATTGCGTATTACTATTATTGCATATTAAATGTACAGTAAAGCCTTGCTAAATGCGCTTTTTATTACTTTTAACGTATGCATATAATAATACTTAATATATTTATAATATTTTATTTCATTCATAATCCCATTCAATTAGCGAGTGCTTACTGTATATGCCTACAAATTAATTCAAATTCTACAATTCTTTACATATATACTGAAAATTTAATTTAAAATGAGATTTTTTAACATTAATGTAATAGTTAATGTCATTTTAAAATCAGTTAGCAACATATCCCATTATTTCTTTTAGTGCATTCAAATAATTGAGCCATGCGGTCATAAAGCTCGCACATTACACGGTTCTAATGGCACTTCATCTACCGCTAATTGTTTTCCCTCCCTTTGTCTTGTATATTTTCTTCTTCTTCGTCATGTTCTTCTTCTTTTTGCTTGTTCTCATTGAACACGGCGTGTCCATAAAAGCTCGCAAATTACATAGTCCAAATAGTTGTTTATCTGCGCTTTTGTTGTTGCAACCTTCCCCCTCCCACCTTACGTTCCTTTCTTTTCTTTTTTTGCTTTTCTTCTTTTTCAGTTTTGGCACAACAACATTTTGCGGTCGCAGCCGCTTTCGCTCCAGCTTCGACTGTGACTGCGCTGCGACTGTGGTCGCTGCCTTAACTAGCCGTCGATCGCGGCTGCGGTTTCTGCTCCCGCTGCCCATTTTTGGTGGGCGTGTCTATTTCCAGTTTGCCGACGAACTTCCAACTGCAGTGGCGGCCCATGGCAATGGCAATGGCAGAGGTAGAGGCAGAGGCAGCGACAGAGCGGAGGCAGAGACAGTGGCATAGGCATAGGCAAAGGCAACGTGACCGCAGCTAACAGTAGTTGACATGTTGTTAGCGTTCGATTCACTCGTGCTGACATTTTGTCTTCTTCTTCATTTTCCTTATTCTTCTTGTTTTTGGGGTCGCCTTAAAGGGGCCGTCGGGTTGGGCTATTCGATATGCCGTTGTATCACAGTAAAAATATTTGAAAATATCGAAGTTTGAATACTCTTTCGCGCTAAAGACAATGGAATACGTTAGATTAGACTCATTGTTATTAGTGTTTCATATTTAATAATGAATGTTAAATAGTAACAGTCATTCGATTGTGTATGATGAGTGTATTGTGAACCATATTTGAGTACGATATAGTGGTATGCAGAGTATATGCATAGCTCTATTGGTATAGCAGCTTGATACGTGATAAGATAAACAACAATTGTAGCTGGAATACTTTCAATTTTTCAATAAAGGAATTTGTAAGCTTTTTGTATATTCTAGCCGGTATTTTGTTAACTTTAGTCACGCGCTGACGTCACAAATTGTTTATTGTTTCTTTTTATTTTATTATTACTATTATCTTTTTTTCGTGACAAAACTAAACATTTGAGAAACATGGCAAATTATTAGTGCTGTTTTGTTTGTTGTTTTTATTTTAGTTTTTTTCACATTGTTTTCCTCTCCTCAGCTCTATTAATATTTCTAATTGCAATTGCTGACTCGCTCGCTAGCTCTCCCCCTCCCTCCTGCTCTGCCTCCCGCTCTTTGAGAAGTCATTATAAACACTTAATTGCCGTCGTCGTCGTCGTTGTTGTTGTTGCTGCTGCTGCTGCTGTTGTGTCAGTTGGCAAATGATTACATATGTATGTTAGTTATTGTTCTTTGCATTGTGTTGTCTAAGCGAGGGGCGTTGCTGATCGGGGGCGTAACTGAGCAACATTAATAGAGAGAATCACAATATTGCCGCAACTGGAGCGTAAATCAACGTAAAAGCTTTGTCAACTGCTTTCTCGCAACAAAAAAGACAATTGCCAGATGAAAAAACAAAATATATATTTTCACTATATAGATCATATGCTATAACTATATAAATATGGAACATAGCTGATATCACTAAATACTTAATCAACTCTATCTGATATAGGAAATGAATATTAGGATTTCTGATGAACCCAGATTGTCATTCGATCAACAAATTTCCCTAAACAGGTTTATACAATTTTGTTTCCCAAGTTGACCTTTTTTATAATATTTAAGACCAATAACTTTCTTTTGTAAAGTGTTGAAATTTGTTAAGCTTTCATTGCCATTGATATTACCTAGCTTAAAGCAGTCCAACAAAGCGAATGAGCCGTTCCAGCCATGTCCATCTATCTACAAAAACTAAAGACTTGAAATGTTAAATATCTTATGCTGTATATCATATGCAGTATGTTCTCGATAACCCCTTAAATTTCTTTTTTATCGATCATTTGGTTTTGTTTTTGAATACCACAAAAGCTAAAAATCTCAAATAATTTATGATGAACACGAAGTTTTTATATATATTTATTTTGTATACCTTCGCCCATTCCTTATATATGTATACAGTTCAGTTCTGCAACATTTGACAGCCTTGGCAATTTATCGATATACGTAGGCTGACTTAAGTTGTTGACTACAAAAGATATTTATATGTAATAGATAAATAGAGGTTGATTCATGCTCTGGAACTGAAAACATACGATGTGCTAATAGCTGTCTGTTTTATCAGAACACATGAGCAAACAATGGAAGCTATCTATACATATATACATATACATATATAAATATAGATATATATAGATATAGATACAGATGTATATAAATGTAAAAAGGATTTGTAACTTGAATCAAATGGGAGACAGCAGAAACGAATGGAATGGAATTCGCGGCATTGAGTGGAACGGAATATGGAATGGAATTCAGTTTGGATGCAACGAAATCTGTAGAAAAATGTAAATCAAGAAATTTACATCACATTCCCTCTGCAGATGCATCTGCATCGCAGGAATTGCGCAGTCGGAGGTTAGCAATAGACTAGAAGAGTGGAAAGCCAGGTGGAAGGGCGAGGTGAGAGAGGTAGGGCGGGGGGCGAGGGGCGAGGGGCGAGGGGCGAGGGGCGAGGGGCGTTGGGCTGCTCACTGGCTGAAGCTGTGAAGCCACTTGAAACGTGCATCAATTGTTTGGAAAGGCGAACGATACGAAATTCTTAACGTGCTGCAGCTCTATTTATGGAACATTGGGAGCACATCGAGTGGCCCTTTGGTGGTGCGATCTGCGGTGGTTGTTGCTGCTGCTGCTGCTGCTGCTGCTGCTGCTGCTGCTTTTGTCTTTTGTTTGTTTACTTCAAAAGCTGCAACACGAAACCGAGGCATCGATGCCGTTGCACTATGCCCACTGGGCTGGCTGGCGGTATGCGGGGGTGCTGTTGCAGTTGCACTCGTGCGTTCAACAAGAGCCACTCGATCCACAGTTGCCTCGCTGCAAGGCAACACACACACACACACACACACACGTAAGGCCCACAACCAGCTCGAATTGAACTTAATTGCATGAAATTGAGACACGAGACTCGATACATGAGACGCATGTAGATGCAGCGGCAAGCTGCAAGCGGCAAGCGAGAATCATCGCTGAGATTCATTCAAAACTCATGCGTCGTCTTCAATTTGAAGCTGTGTGTGCTAAGTGCGCCGTCAAATGAGCTGTCATAATGATGAGATCGTCGCTAAAAGTGGAGACCTTTCAGCTAGAGATGGGACATATTTTCATTAAGATAAAAGTTTTTTTTCAATAATATTTTGTTATCTTATGTACAGAATATTAGCTAACTAAGGTTATATAAAAAGTTAAAAGTTGATAAGATATATCAAACAATCTAAGCATAAGATGATTGAGTACAAACAGAAATATGCGCTGAACTGAATATATATCTATAACTTCAGTTTGTAAGTTCCCTTAAGCTCATATCTAGAAGTGCTCGAATAGTTCAACATGAAATGTTTCGACAGCTCTCGATAAGCTTTCATATATTATTATTAGTCAGTTACGATCTAGTTCCCTTCATGCGTGACACGCTGTCATCTCTAGACCATGGCCAACATATTCGCATGTAAAATGCTGTAAAGTTATGTGGAGCCCCATTTGGGGGCCACAGTGCTCAAGTGGTTGACACCCATGAACTCCAGCAAATGTGTCTAACAGCAAATGTTGCGCTGCCATTAACGAATGGGAATGGGAATGTTCTGCCCCTGCCTCACCCCTTCTGGCCCCTTTGACTGAAGTTGGTCTGCTGCTGCTGCTGCTGCTGCAAGTTCTATCGATGACAAAGTCTAGCCAATGAACTGTGAATGCATTAAAAGGCGGGCGGGGCTGGGACGACTTTCGTATGAACTCTAAGCAACGGCCACATAAACATGCCGCATGTGGACAAGCTAGCTGAAAGCGTGGGCGATGAGGGGGCGCAGGGGGCTGGCATAGTTAGCGGCAAACACGCCCGCATCAAGCAAAGGCGCCGCGCGCGCCTTGGATAAAGATCTGATTCAGTGTGAGTTGATTTTCGAATTAGAACCGAGATTCGAGATGGCACTTGCTGAATGTCGGAATGAGCAATGGAATGATTGAATAATTGAATGAATGAATCAATGAATGTGCATTCGGCAAAGTTGAAACCAGTTTGCCAAGCAGCGCTGACATTTGTAGACGCACACACACACACATATATATATATATATATATATATATATATATATATATATATATATATAGATATATCTTAAAGCACATTTATCCGACAGATGCCGAAACAAAAGAAAAAAAAGCACAGCCACAGATACAGATACAGATAGAGATACGAATATACGGCTTAAGAGTTATCTCTGCCTCTTGCCCAAGTCTTTATAAGTCGTTAGTAAACAGTGCTCGTCTGCTCGTCTGCTCGTCTGCTCTTCTCGCCTCTTCATTATTCGCCTTCTTCTTCTTCGTCTTTTATGTGATGTTTGTTTATTTTCGCGCAAATATCGCAACAATTGAGCAAATGTCCAAGATGAGCAACGACTTGAGGAATACGCTTCCTGGAACGCGTCACTGCGAAGAATATTCAAGAAGAATATGATTGAATCAGCTAACTGAACGAAATGCTTAGTGTATATATTTATCTACTTACTCTATGATATGTGCAAGGGCAGTCTTAAAAGTTCGTGCGAACAATATATATTAATTTCAATAAATTAATTTTTGTTTTTATTCTTTTTCTATTTGTCTTGTTGAATAACAGTGTTCACTTGCTTTTGGGAGAAATTCATATTCATACTCCTAGCCTATATAACAAAATTATATTTGATCAATATGAATATATCAAATTTACTTATTTTTTTATTTTCTTTTTAATATAAATATAAAAAAAAATACAAAAAAAAATATTTTAAATGCAAAAAAAATGCTTAAGGCATTTGTGTCAAATGTAAAAAAAAAATATTTGTAGAAAAATTATTTTTAAATATATATAAAATTTTTTTTTTTAAAAATAAGCTTAAATAAATAAATAATATAAATACATTTTTTTATATATTTAAAAACAATAAGAATTTATTAATTATATAAAAAAATATATTTTAAAAATTTATGAAAATAATTTAACCGAACAAAATCGAATAATTGATAGTAAAGGAAAAATGTACTGTTGAGCAATGAGTCGCAAGGCTGAAATCTAGCGCCGATTGAAAGTAGGCAACTAGCTGAACAACTATCGATAACAAACGATAACACAAAGGAGCAGCAATAGTGATAAGTGTGACCGTTTAACATTTGCAAATTAGTTTCAATAGAGCTCTAATGGTTATATACGCTTAAAGCTCAGTTGAACTCTCAGCAGATTCCCAAGAGCAAGAGTGTTGCATAAGCAGCCCTTAAAGTATTATGCCTCACAGCGCAGAGTCGCCTTTGTAAACAAGGGCGTTTGAATTTGGTTGTAAACACGATTTGCTGTTGGCTAATTGCCAACTGGGCGACTACGTGGGGGTTCCTACTTCATCCTGTGTTCTCTTCTGTTCTTCCGGTTTCTGTTTCACTTGCCTGCGTTGTTGTTGTCGTTGTTGTTGCTATCGATAAGTGAGTGCACTGAGTACCGCTTAAGGGTTGATCAGCCACCCACAACGGTGAGGGTGGGCGACGCTGTTGAGAGTTGTCTAATAGATTCGCCTACTTGACGTGTCCAAACTCGATTAAGCAAAGGACAGCAAGGATGAGAATGTGCAGTGGCTACCCTTAGCTCAGTTGTTCGTTAGGGGTGCCGAATGTAAAGAGTTGCCACACGACCCAAAGCTGAACAGGCTTAAGTATATAAATATATATATTATACATTGCAGAGCTGACTATAAAACAATGGATAAACTATCGATATTTTATCGATCCTTATATTATTATTTATAAGAAAAAAACTAGAACGCCTTATATTATCATAATTTGTTCTATATAATTTATCGATAGCTAACTATAACTATCGATAGCTACCAAAAACTGTCCAAATTCATATGCTTAAGCACTATCTATCGATAACTATCGTATGTATTACAATATACTTCTGCATATACATATATATTGCAAAGCGTGAATCGATAACTGCTAGATCGATTAGTTATCGATAGCTAACACAGCCTTTGCCAGATATAATTTGACTCCATCAAGTAATACTCTGTGAGTATAAATTCGAACATCTGGTAACGCCACGAGGATTGCAACCCCCAAATCCAAACTAGTTGCAACTACCAAGTGGCATAGATTCGCATGGACACAGCACCCACCCAGCCACCCTAGCCGTACGCGCGCAGCGCAGACGCAAAGAGAGCCGTAGTGAGAGAGTGAGAGAGAGCGCCGGTCAGCTTACCGTTAGGCTTTGCCTGAGCACAGGAAAGGCTAGTGAGAGCGGCACAGAGCGAGAGAGCGTTAAAGTGGGCTCATTAAAGTTTCATGGGCTGTTCTTTTCGCATGACTTTTGTTGCTGTTTTCCCTTGAGGAGTTTTGTTTTTTTGGAGCATGCTTTGCTTGGGCCACTGCGCCGCTCTGTTCAGCTCCGTGACTTGACTAGTCCTGCCGAAGCTGTTCCAGCCACGGGAAAAGCAATAAAATAACAACAAAAGGAAAAAACAAAAAACAAAAAACAAAAACCAAAAACAATATACAATAAAGTGTTCAAAAACTCGGGGATTTTTTTCAATAAACAAAACGAAAGTAAACTTAGAAATTAAATTTAAACTCCTCAGTGCCAAGAAAAAGGCAAGGCCCATTAGATACTGAAATAGGCGGCGCATTGGATATATACATACACGAAGCAGCCAACGACGGACAAAACCACACACAGCGCCATGTGTAAGTAACACACACACTCACACACACACACACGCACACGCACACACAGAGTGATGCTTAGGCAGGTGGTAAAAAGGGGAGCGAGCCGTGCACATTGTGAAGTGTAGCGTGTGTGTGTGTGTGTGTGTGTGTGTGTTGGCACTTGAGCTAAGCGGACGAGCGATTTCGTTTGTTTTGCACTAATGAGCAAATGGAGCTGGCACTCAGCTCTTGGTGGATGCACACAGGAGCAGCTCCCATGCAGTCCTTGCCAGTGGTTGGGGGAAGAGGCGGCGTCGCGGGGGATTAAGCACTTAATCATTTTTATTACTTATCGCGTTATGCTTATGCCTTATGTCGTGTATTGCAGCAAAGACGCCGTCGTTCGATAAGGATCGGGATTACATTGGCTTTGCCACGCTGCCGGAGCAGGTGCACCGGAAGTCGGTGAAGCGCGGCTTTGAGTTCACAATGATGGTCGTTGGCGAATCGGGCCTGGGCAAATCGACGCTGATCAACAGTCTGTTTCTGGGCGATCTCTACAAGAACCGCCAATTGCCCAATGTGGAGGAGCGCATCGAGAAGACGACACGGGTCGAGAAGAAGACCATGGACATTGAGGAGCGCGGCGTGCGATTGCGCCTAACCGTTGTCGACACGCCCGGCTTCGGCGACGCGATTAACTGTGAGGACAGCTGGCGCGTCTGCACCCAGTACATCGATGAACAGTTCCGGCAGTACTTCACCGATGAAAGCGGCCTGAATCGCCGCAACATACAGGACAATCGGGTGCATTGCTGTTTGTACTTTGTCCCACCCTGGGGCCACAGGTGAGTGGGGCCACCGCATGCAAATCAATCAACTCTCGTCAATTCAATTCGTTTCTTTTGGGCAGCTTGCGGCAGATGGATTTGGATTTGATACGGCGACTGCATCGAAAGGTTAACATTGTCCTGGTCATTGGCAAGGCGGATTGCCTGAACAAGGGCGAGGTGCGCAAGCTGAAGGAGCGCATATTGCAGGATCTCGAGGATAATCACATACAGCTGTATCAGTTTCCCGAGTGCGATTCCGATGAGGACGACGACTTCAAGCAGCAGGATCGTGAGCTCAAGGCGTCTATACCGTTCGCCGTTGTCGGCAGCAACACCATACTGGAGGTGGCTGGCAAAAAGGTGCGTGGCCGTCAGTATCCTTGGGGTGTGGTCAACGTGGAGGACGCCGAGCACAGCGACTTCATCAAGCTGCGCACATTCCTCATATCTACGCACATGCAGGACCTTAAAGATACCACACAGGTGAGTCCATCAGATATATGGCAGAGTGAAGCGCAGCCAACTCATTCTCTCTGCCTTTGCAGGATGTGCACTACGAGAACTTTAGGGCGCAGTGCATCTCACAGATATCGCAGCATGCGTTGCGCGAGCGGGGCAAATTGAAGCGCGACTCGATCAGCTCGACAAACGGATTCGATGCGGCCATTTCGGAAACGGATCGCCTGCTGCTGCAGAAGGACGAGGAGATCCGACGCATGCAGGACATGCTCACGCAAATGCAGGAGAAGCTCAAGCAGACGCATCTAATGGAGATGAAGAAGAACGACAGCGTCATCGACGTCTAAAACTGCGTGTTCAATTTTGCACCTTCGTATATATGCATATATGTATATATATAAAGTTAAATATATATATTGATATATATATATACTATACAAAAACATAGGCATACCCACACTCAACACAGACATACCACAAACACACACAATCATTTGCCTCTCAATGGGCAGACAACCACCAAAAAATTACGTTCTTAAGGTAGCACCATTTCCAGTTAACCGCAAGGCAAAGAAGAAAATGAAAATCAAGTAAATTAGAATTTGTTCTACTTAAATTTTATACAAAATTCGCTTACAATTTGTAGCTGCCACTCGCAGCCAAGCATTGACCAAACTCTTAACGCATTTCACTAGAAATGAGCACAAAGTGAGAAAGCTTTTGCCGCCAATTCGCTAAATTTCTTCTTGGATAAAGCAAAACAAAACAACGTTTCAATTGTTGATCGTAGACTTAACTTAACAAATTAATGCAAACCAATTACAATTACCAAGTGAATTTTTTAACGAAGAGACTAAACCTAAAACGTAGCTACGAATACCACAAGAAATTCCATAAGCAAATCAATATAAACAACTTAAAATAGAGCTCGCAATGCACGTATTATACCAAAGTAAAATTAGTTTGAAAAACTACACGAACTAACAGAACAAACCAGAACAAGAGGCAGACAAAATGCAGATGCATCAAGACATATATAGACAGATATATGTATATAGTGGAACTATTTTTTTTTTTTTTAATTAAATTTCTCTTTTTTCTCTTGGTCAGTGTTAACCAGAAAAACGAAAACTCCTAATTTGTTAAAACGAATTGTTAATGAATTTATTTTAAATGATTAATTAAGCAACATACAATATAATAATTAAATGAAAATTATAGTGGAAAAATTATATACACATAATAATAATAATAATAAAAGGAAAAACAACAAGAACTATTTAAAAATAAACATAATTATTAAAAGTATAAATTAACTGTGTCGATTGTGGAACAATTTCAATTGCCTAGAACTCGCCTTAGACTTAATAGAATGTGGCACGAGTTGATGCAGCAATTTGATAAGTTCAATAATTTTATATGAGTGTGAGTAGGCATACAGCA